TATATATATATATATATATATATATATATTATATATATAAATATATATTGGTATATAATAGGGCTGTAGGCCTATGTATATATGTATATATATACATATATATCATTATTATTATTATTATTTATATATGTATATCTATTTGTATATTTTACATTTATTTGATTATTATTACATACACTATATACATACATATTCATAACTGAGACCTAGGTCTACATTTATATCCACATATACAATATATAGGCCTATGCCTACACAGGTATACAAGACAGGATCCATATGCAGTGACAGTTTAAGTTAATAATAAATGATATGATTATTGAGATGAGCAATCGATTATAGTTCTGCCGTATACAGTATATGTAAGGATGTGTTTTATTCAATTGGTATTATATGGTGTATAGAAGACACGAGTGTAGTTATATCGAGATAATGTAATTGGATTTTATATATTCAGAATACATATTGAATTCAGTGTACCTTGATGTGTACTATATGCTTGGTACACAGGGTACCGTACGTTTTAATGACGTATACAATAAACAATGTTCACAGGCTTAAAATATAGATCGTTTGCTTTCCCAACATAATAGAGTACCACTATCTTGCTTAGGCCTAGGCCTACTATAACGTACTTTCAATTATTAATGTTCATAAACATCGAAAATATTTTTCAAACCGTGCTTGATTTTAACGAGGCTACCTACCTTCTCTACGCATTCCCATTTTCAGGCACTTCTTTAATCTACAATACTGACACTGATTGCGATGGTGCTGGTCCATCGGACAGTTGCGATTCCCCCTGCATGAGTAGCTCAGGTTTCGTCGGACGGAACGTTTGAAAAAACTTTTGCACCCCTCACATGTAAACTGTCCATAATGTTTACCACTACTCTTATCACCACAAACCACGCATTCTATGTGTTGCCCTGTTCCATTTTGCTGTCCATTTGACTGGTTAGTTCCACCTGAGGATTGTGATTCTGTAGTGGAGCCTGTGGGTGTTGTAGTTTCGGGTGTGCATAGGGTCGGGGTGGTCGGGGTTTGTTGCGGTGTCGTACACATTTGACTGGTCGGTATGCTTCCAGTCTGCTGTGAGTTGACTAACTGTGTTTGGGTGGGCGGTGTAGCTTGTGGTGCCGGACACATTTGTCCAGGCAGTGGTTGCTGACTCGATTGATTAACGTGTCCGGGGATTTTATTTGACTGCTGTATACCAGTCGGTGTTGTCGGTGTATGCTGTGACGGGGCGGTGTCGGCAGTCAGATCTTCGTTGCTCCACACTGGTGCATTAGTAACCGGCATATCCATAGTTCAGCTAGCACTGTTGCCAGCTGCCAGGATCAGGTTGGCAACACCAAGAAAAGGAAGAAAAAAAAAGAAAAAAAACAACGTTAAGTCGGTGGTTACATCCTATACATATCCAAACGTAACTAAATAGTCTTCCGCATTAATGCATCAAGCGGCCGATTATTTGTCATTCAATATATATTATATCCACATTCGATCCGACTAGCCGCGAAAGAATATTTTTATAACTATTTGTACTGTTTTTTCCTTGCTAGGCTAGATCGCCGTACCGAAACGTGTTAAGAAAACACGCTTCCGAACCATACAGTCGCGTTGATATGAGCGGATTAATTTTGAAAAGTGGGACGTACAAGTGTGTCTGGCTATAGAGTTGAACTATGACTCTTGCATTGCGACTGTCGGGTTTCTATGACATCTGTTTCCATATACGGTGTTGGATGTCATACAGGTTAAAGGGGGTGATTGGTGGTTTGTAATAGAAGGTGTTCGGTCACTGTCCCGGCCTGTGGTTACCCTATCAATCAGGTTTGACAAAACAGACATGCTATTGGTTACTTTTTTCTCTCGACTTCTAGTCCAGCAATATCACTACGCCAGATATTGTGTTTTTAAGGAAGCCATGGAATCCAGGGTCATGCCCGTACGCTACCAATCACCGCTGCCTACATTTGTTTTGGCGACAGGTCACGTAATAAGAGACAAAGGTGCGAAAAGGGTAGCATCAGTCAATACAACAAGATAACAGGTTGAATGTCTAGCAAAGTATAAACACACGACAAAATATTCAACTAATAAAAACACCGGCGTTCACAAAATGACATCATTATTTCGCTTCGCAAAAAAAAATTGATAGAACTCTTGACAAATAGAGTGTCTTTTTTATAAATTTCCAAGCCACTTAGCCTGAAAATTCTGCTTTTAAGAATCCTGTTTCTGTCAATATAGTTCCCCATATGGTTGTCGTTCAATGTCAAATCAAGACGCGCAAATATAAATAGTGGAATGGTAAACCACCTAGGACACAGTTTGTTCAGATAATATTGTACCAGCGTTAAACGTTAACAACACGCAGCAAACGCACAGCAAACGCGCAGATATCATAGATTGGTGTTCCTCATTCTGAAAGGTCTTTCCTCGTGTTTTAGATTTCGACTTATTCTATAGATTATGACTCGATTCTTAAAATCCCACATGCGCCGCGTTTTTTATTACCACCGTGAAAATTACCCTCTACTAACAAATTCTTATTAATTTCTATTCGTTAACCCGTTTCCAACAGTGCTGTCAACCGGCATACATTTCGCAAATAAGTCAATGAAGCGCCATGACTTTGGACCTCCAGGCCACGGTTTGTCGACAATATCATTCGTCTACGCAGGCCTCCTGTACCTAATCTGCCGTGCCGGTGTTTGTCGACAACCCCTCTGAAAAATAAAATTTCCTGTTGAACGCAACTCGCCGCCGTGTTGCTAACTTGTCATAATAAGCATAATGCGCACTCTCATTCGTATTTGGAAATTACAAATCATTTGTAACCTGAAGAACCGAGTCGTCTGTGTGTCTGGCATTATGATGGATATTGGTCATTTTCTTTTTTAAAAAGGAGCTAAACCTCTACTGTAATACACACAGTTGATATTTTATTATGAGTCCAGTACAGTACCGTATAACTCACTCTACTACTAGAACTGTAACATCATCCACGGTCGGCCATGATGTAATTTTCCCCTTTTGTCCATCCACTGGTTATTATTATTTTTGACAAAGTAAATACAATGGCAGTCGCTTATTATAGAAAGGCCTTCTGAACCCGACCTGGCTTTGTAGAACCAGGCCAACCGCTTAACCTGAGCAATCACATTGAATCGGACCAGTGTTACTCGGTGGTTGTAATTATGGACGCAAGAAAAGGCTAGTGTCTACCAGTTGAAAGTACAATATTCCTCTCATAGCTACTCTAGCAAACACACTACTATTGAAAGGCTAGACACTATTGTTGTTTAGCAAATATGCATAACGTATTCATAATGCCAAGGGGCTATTTCACAACGAATACAAACTATAACGACGTCTATCTCCCATCTTATAAGTGTGATTTTTACCTCCTTAATAAGTTCATACATCCATGATACAACCTACCAAAACACTGCTTGTTACAGGAAACCCCTTGGTCGAACCCCTTCCTGAGTTCAGGTTGGAATTATCAGCCATGATTAGAATTTTAGACAGCTAATAAAAATTGGTCTCAGTAGAAATGAATTCTAAAAATGTCCAGTTCTCTGCTAAAACACCAAATAAAATTAAACATTAGTCTTTTTCTTTTTGCTATATGACCTTGATGACAAATGCGATTTAAAAAAAAACCAATATAGGCCTATGCCTCATACAGCACAGATACAATGCACCAAAGCAAAAATTGACATACTCAACAATTTTGAATTAATCAAAGAATGACAATAAAAATGGTAAATCATTATTATTTTATATGTTTTCTAATAGTAGGCCTAGTCAGGATATCATCGATGAATTTGTTTATAGGTTCTTTCAGTTAATCATAACAGCAAAAACGAGACGGCTAATTTATTACTTTAGTTTTATTTGCGATCAATACCCTACACTTAAAAAAAATAACTCATTTTATAAGAACACAGGCTGGAATTGCTTAAAAATATAAGTAAGTAACAAATTGAGGCTGAGGTAAATTTCAAATGCGGTTTTTATTAAACAAATCTACAAAAACCAACAACAAAATATTTTGGTCTTATCTGTAGTATTTTCAGTAGTAGATATCCTCTATCAATACAGTATTATACTACTGTAAAAAAATAATAATATTAATTTTCTATCTTTGAAAAGTGTTTAAAATAATAACAAATAAGAACTTTTTAGCCTATGGCAAAAAAGAGTAAGAAGATTGAGTCTGGGTGAAATTTAACTGGTTCTTGCTTTAAAAAGTGTACTATAATAATAACAATCGTCATTGTTAGCAATCGTGATATCCAATTTTGGGAGAACAGGAACTGTTTAAAAATCTGGAAATGATTGTACTATCCATTCCATTAGGCCTATACAAACAAATACGAAATACGAGAGAAACATTTTGGAAAAATGTAAACTGTATATATTGTAGCATCCTATCGTTCATGAGCAGGCATTGAACAGCATCCCTAAATACCTTGACCACAGTAAAGTCCTACCTAATCCAAGAGGATTAATTACACCATCCACGAAGGTCTTGGATAGTCAGCTGAAGTCAAGGTAATGTGGAACTAATAATAATCGATTCGACCAGACAGACAATCTATTACGTAATATTATGCAATATCAAGGGTTTGTCCTCATCAGGTGAAGGTTATGTGTGTTTGGTACTAAGGTGAACTATGGAGTTGGTATTGCGGATATCTACTGTTTCAACTGCCTATATAACACTTGTAGCTATAATATGTGGGTCTATATCTTATAATTATATACAATTTTGTATATACAATAATTACTATGTTGTCTTGTGATAGACCTATTTAATTTTGTTATTTATTATTGTTATTTTTTTTGTATAAAAGGTTTGTTTTCCTCCACGTGATGTAGGTCTAAATCTGTAGACCAGATCTAAAGTATCATTATAAAGGCAGTTTATTATAGTCGGAGATTAATAGGCCTATGAATATACAGGACTATATTTTATGTGGTATTATAATATAAAATAATGATAATAATAATATATTGTAGGCTATATGTATGTAGGCCGGTGTAAGTAGTCAATAGGTGTCAATTGAATGTAGCCATAACATTTATTCTATAATATATGACTACTTAAAACGTTGATCCGACTCACAATAACAAACGTGCATTTACAGTGTACCGTATATCTACATAAATATATATGCACGTTGAGCCTATATATACGTACATCGAGAAATATGATACATAGAAAAAAAATTTATATTTTGTAGGTCAATATATACATGTAGCCATACGTTACAATATAAATGTATAATGCAGTATATAATTTACATTATTTATTTATAGGGTCTACCTATGCCTACACATATACACATGTCTACAAATACATAGATCTATATCCATACGACTACATTATATATGATCAGTTAAAATGTTCCATTAGTAGGTACTTAAAGTAATAGTTCAATCATAAATATAAGTGATGGAAAAACATTACCAGAAGAACATAAAAGTAATGGAAATACTAATACAAATATTGAGGTAAAATATTTATTATAAGTAGGCCTATTGAAAATAAACTACCATATAAACATTGGAAATGAAACTCCTAAACACCATTTGTAAGGCAAATTATTGTGTAGTGTCTGGTGTATTCATACGATTGGTGGTGTCATTCACTGCCTTCACTTGTATCAGCCTTACCTTCAAGCTCCGCACCTTACTTCGTTTCTCAGTGCTTCTGTTTCCCGTGTCGAATTCGAATCACTCTCATACTAAACACTCAACCTTAAACCAGGTATACAAAATATTTAGCAAAAACTAAACTGTTTGCTTAAGCCGAGTCCAGCACATTTAATCATCTCTTGATTCACGCAAAAGCGTAATGAAAAGGATCTAGACATTCCCCATGCTTTTAAACGTATTCTAATTCGGATAACTCAAAACACGCACATTGAATGATCCCTCTACGGTGTATAGACAAACCCTCGTCATTTAATATGTCCCTGAGCGAAAGAACTGCACGCACGATCAACCTGTCTGCAGAAACGGTACCCTTCTATCATTTCCAAGGCATCAGACACACAAAATCGATCCATTTACGCATAGCTATATTAATCAATATCATCCGCATTGATTTACCGACGATGCAAACTGATAGATAATATGATACTGCGGGACATATCTTTCAAAAACGCACCCACACTTAACTTAATTCGATACTTCATTCATGGCGATCCTTTTCTCATCTGTTTCTACAAACACAAAAGTGATCTTTTTACAATCCACTGAAAACATTTGTTCCAGTATTTCATGCTAGGTTAGGCCTAGTTCTTTTACTAAAATAATTATTATAAGAACAGAATATAACAGAATCAAATTAATGATAACATATGCAATGGCCTACGGGATATATAAAGGCATATATGTATATATAGGCCTATATATATATGCCTATATATATTTATTATATACGGTATATATATATATTCTTATTGTATATCAAAAGATGTCTTGTTTGTTATTTTGCATTTATGTCGATATGTAGGGCTATATGTTTATGTATAGGCCTACTACGATATTTACCTATAAGATATATTACGAGGCACAATATATATACGAGACAACTTATATATAAATATTGTCATGTATAGGCCTACCAAAACTATTGTACAGAATTCCGCGTATATATCTTAAATTTGATATTATATTATTATCTGGCAGCAGCATCAGCGTTGGTCGCCACAGCATGTTCCATAACGATGATCATAAATTCAACATTTACATTGATTTGATGTCTGATTCAATTGGATGTGCATGTATTGGTCGTATTTGCATAAATACCCGTTTTATATACGTGTTTTATACACACTATATAGGATGATGTTTGTTAGGTAATGCGGAAAGTATGTGAGGTGTACTATATATACTTCTGAGCATCATTTAAAGATACCGGTACATAAAGACATTTATATTTATATTATTTACGTTGGAGTGGGTTTACTTTGTGTTTGGTAAAATATTGTATACTGTATGTGAATAATAATAATAATAATAATAATAATAATAATAATAATAATAATAATAATAATAATAATAATAATAATAATAATAATAATAATGATAATAATAATAATAATAATAGTAATAATAATTAATAATAATAAAGAATGATAATAAATAATATAACAAAAATATCACTAAATAGGCCTAATTCTAAAAATAATATTACTTAATATTATAATTAATAATAATAACAACATTATAATCAATAATAATTATTATAATCACAATAATATATTACTACTATAATCATGATAATAATAATAATAATAATAATAATAATACTATTCATAGTAACAATAATAATAATAATAATAGCCCAACAGTAACCTAATAATATTTTTATTAATAGGCTCTAATAATGAAAATAATAACAATTAGATAAGAAACACCTATCAACAAGTATGATCAATTAAACAAACATATTTTTGGAATTTTAAGACCAAAGTGCTTCCGAATATTCATGTAGACGCTACAATTTCATTATTTATTTTATAGTAATAAGGCCTCTTGAATCTCACTTTCAGGTATTAGTTAAGCAATTTTATTATACTCTATAATACCCTATTATATAC